CGTCTGCAGTGCTTGGATATGGCAGGTAACGCTCATGTGGGCCTGTAAGAGACCAGACAAAACCTCTCCGTCAGAAGGGAAGGCTGGGGTCTCGTTCTGTCATGCATCAGTGGGCTCAGTCCCTGGAGCGCTCTGCAGATCCCGAGTCCTGGTCCTTCCAGCGAGGGTTCCTCTTGATTGGCTAGCTTACCGCTTCGTTTCCAGGCTCCCACTGGAACTTCTCGAAAGAGGCATTAGGCCAGGAACACTGTTTGTATAGCTAGCTGAGACCTCTGCCTCTTTCTGGCTGTGCTGCGAAGGAAGAGCTGGGTGGGCTGTGTTTGGCACGAGTCCAGAGACTGATTCCACCCTGCGATAGCTGCGTATATTCCCTCCTGAAAGCGGTCTGAGAGTGACTTTCTTCTCTGGAGGCCAGTCGCCCTTGCGTGGGGAGGTCTGGTTTTCGCTGGGGGAAGGCAGGAGGAGCACAGTCCGGGTGTAGCCTGGCAGTGCTTGTGCGAAGGAAGATACTTTCATGTGCTAAGTCACCTGCTCCGTTTTCTCACCCAGCATTTGCTACACTGCCCAAAGCGTCTCTACCACACTGTTAAATGACTCCAGACTCTGCTACTTCCTGTGGGGAAGGTGTTGCAGTCTGATCAGCCTTGCTCTTAGTCCCACGGGCTGTTGGAGGGAAATCTTTGGCAGCCCATTACAAACATACCTGCTTCCCAGCTGGCAATCCACCAACTGCATGGGCAGCTTTGTGATCAATGTGTAGTGCGGCAGACTTGACGCTGTTGTGATGGAGTCTGACGCTGTGTCTGTTCTGCAAACTGTGGCACACACAAGTTAAGTTGGCATGAGGCCGCTGCAGTTAGCGTGGGCCTGCTCGTCTTGCAGCAGTGCTGTGTGTACTGACCAGGAGTGCTTCTAGCGATACACAGTGCCGTGTACTATGGGTAGGTACCCTAGTGTGCAAACTGTGACCATCTAGTGCACCATCGTTCAGTGCATAGCGGGGCAGAAGTGAGTCATGCAGGGTGATTAGGAGCAAGGAGTCAGCTTCCCAGCATGCATGGTGTTCTTACTTCCAGTGCACAGAATGGCTGTAGATTTGTCAGTCAGTGTGTCTTGTAACACCACCATCACTGTAGTGGGAAATGAAGGATCCTCATCCTACTTCCGGCTTGCCCTTGGTAGACTGTAATGACGTCTCAAACGAACCATGCTTTGTAGCATAGCTGAATCCCCTGGTCGCATGTCCCCAGATCCTCCCTTTCCTCCTTCCTGGTCCCTTCCCCTCTTCCTCCTCCTTGCTGTTCAGACTCTGGGCCTGTGACTTAGCTCCTTGGAAGCATCCATGGTGGAGGTGTGTCTGCCAAGTATGGCGCACTGCTCTTTGTAAAGTGGCCGGTCTGTAGCGCAACACCCGATCAGCTGTTGGTCTCCTTCTTGTGGTATGCCTGCCTCAGGTCCTTCGCTTTCGTGTGTCGCTGCTGCTGGTGCCTTCTCCTGCATCCCCATACAACCTGCTCGTACACACTGATATTTCAACGGCTGGCCTGTAGCAGTGCCCACACAGGCTCTTCTCCCCAGGGGATCCCCTATCTACTCTAGGCTGCGGCATGTAGCCATCATGGTCAGCTGGGGGGATGCATGCAATCATGGAGAGCTGCCAGGTGTGCTTGTCATCCTGGAAAGTCAGGAAAAGGCATTTCAAGAATTTGCAGGGCTTTCAGGAGGCGAGGGGGCCTTCTCTGTGACCCTGGGGCAGCGGTATTCATAACTAAGACCAGAGTGGTCAGTGTTGGGCATTGTGGGAGAGCTGTTGGAGGACTGCTGGGATTGCCCTAGGTTTTGCTGTCTGTGCTCACAATGCATCAACCTCAGTACCTCAGCCATGGCTCAGTATTGCTCGGGAGGTGGTGTTACTATGTCAGCAGAATGGGGCATTTGCATTAATTGGAGATAAATGTAAGCGTAGACACATGAACAGCGAGATCAATACAAGGTGGCTTCTGCCAGCTCAGCTTTGCAGTGTCGACCAGGCCTGATTCTGGGGACTGTTGATTTCACCCGTAGCTTTTTGCTTCCCTCTGTCTTGTCCTAGAGCCCAATGGCGCATGCGGCTGTGCTGCCTGTCACGCTGCCTGGGGACTAGAGCAGTGTACTGGGACAGCGTGTCTCCCTGCTCTGGAAAGGTGCCTGTGGCAGTGGGTCCTGATGCTCCTGCTCTGTGGTTTTTTAGAGATGGCAGTGGACGACTTACCTGCGGGGACCATGCTGGTGAAAGAGGCAGAGCTCAGCCGCTGCGTGGAAGATGTGTTCAAGGTACAGTGTCCGATCCGCATCTCTAAGGGTGTAGCTGTGCCTGAGGACGGAAGAGAGAACGGTTTGCCCGGAAAGTCGGTCTTCAGGGCTGGGACCCGCCGAGGCATTTGAGATGAATATTTTAAACTGTAAAACGAACAAAATCTCTAATGCAGCCTCCATGCTGAAGTAAGGTGGAGTCTGGGGAGCTGGAACCAGGGAGGCCATGGCCCCCCCACTTTTTAACATGGGGGCCATTTGGAGTTAGGGGGGCTGTGTTGCTCCCCCAAGCTACAAGCCTGGGGCAGGCACAGAGTGGTCCTGGCAGAGGCTGCAATTTGCATCAAGGGAGCAGCCTCTTAGTGGGAGGGCAGAGGTGGAACTCCCAGGCCCCTGCCAGGGGCAGGTGGAGGGTCTGTGTCTCCCCCAGCAGCCCAGGCTCCCTGTGCAACTCTTCCTACTGCCCAGCCGAAGTTGTTCCAGCACCCCTTTCCTTGTGTACAGAAACAGTTCGTCTGGGGCAAGCCGGGTTTTGAACCCACCCTGCCATAGCCTCCAGCAGGCTAATCATCTGTGGGCCCCAGTGGCGCGCAGTCGCCCCTCTTGGCCATGGGACAGATCTGAGTGCGTTATCCAACAGGTTGTGGCGAGTTAGTCTGGGGCAGTGCTGTGGGGTAGAGTCACGCTCGGCTTGCTGCGCGCTGATGTTCATGGAGACAAGCCCAGCAAATAGCCCTGTGGAGAGTACAACCGTGGGGCGAGACTGGGCCCTTTCATGCTCTGCCGCCCAGACGTGTTCCTGGGCAATGTCACACAGCTCCATCAGTGCGAGAACTTGCTGCCTGGCTCCTTCCCCAGGAGCCCGAGTCCGTCTGCAGGCCCGCTGCCGGTGACACAGGCTTTGTTCTCTCTGGAGGCAGCCTTGCAGCAGGCAGGGAGGTAAAGCATCGCTAGTCTGTCACACCGCTGCTTCTCTGGGTGCACCATCATTGTGTGAGGGGGGCTGAATGGAGAGTACAGCATTGCCCAGGAAGCTGGCCCTTCTGCATTCCTAGCAGCCAGCTCTGCGACCGTTTAACGTGTGTGTCTTCATCCTGCGCTGTTCTAGTTTTGCATCAAACGTAGAGCTGCACCAAGTCGCACGCCTTTCAGACTGGGTGGGTCACTTCAGCTCTAGGCTCTTTATCAGCCACACTTGTAATCTCTTCAAAAATATCCATCAGTTGAGTTTGGCAGGGTCTGTTTGCCATATACTTCTGTTGAGTGGGATTCATTATTTTACCTTCCCTTAATCCTTTTATAATCAACTGTATCAGCTGCTCTGTTATTTTTGCCTGGCATCCACATCTGGCAGATGCATCTGGAATTACCCATGTTGTCTGGTTTACCTTTTTAAAATATCGGCACGCTATTACTTTTCTTCCAGTCTTTTGGAACTTCCTCAGGGCACCAAGACTTACAGCAGCAATAGTTCAGAATAGGGATGTAAGTGACTAGTCGACTACCTGGTAAGCAAGTGCTTCTTGGGTAGTTGAGTAGGAACTCAGGTAGTCACTCCTCCCCCTTGCTGGCTCTATTTGAGAGAGGCAGCAAGGGGGGGCGGGAGCACAGGCTGGTGCTGGGGGGAGCCAGATTACAAGCTGGTTCCCCCCAGCACTGTCTTCGCAGAGGGCAGTGGGGAAACGGCGCAAACAGGGACTGAAACAGTCCTGCTTGCCCCGGACCCACTGCTGCTCCTCTCCCTTTGAATTGTACAGGAGCTGCCAGCGGTTCCTGTACATTTCAAGGGGAGAGAGGCAACAAGGGCTGAGTCTTTTCCTTTGAAATATACAAGAGCCATGGGTGGCTCTTGTACATTTCAAAGGGAGAGGCACAGTGGACTAGCGAACGCTCCCCTTATAACTGATGGAGTAGTCGATGGCAATTTCATGGCTGCTCGATTAGCTGATGAATTGAAATTCCACATCCCTAGTTCAGAAGGCTCCTGTGCCTGTTCTTGTGAAGCTCTTGGATGCTGATTTAAAAATGTCCAATTTCAGTAGCAGGTGTTTAATACCCTCCTGAGACACTAGTGAATGGAAAGTGTTTTCCACCCTCACCTGATAGGACTAGCTCATCGGTGTTTCCCAACTACAGAACAGAAATACTCTTTGTTGCCCTTACTGTAAGGCTTTTGTCAGGCTGAATACAATTGCCAACAGAGGTAAAGCCTATTAGAAAGGGGGAGGAAACGAAACCTCACCGGTCAGCCACAAAGGACACATTGTTCTTTTTAGCTGCTTAGTGCTACAGGAGGGTGAATAAAGCCAGGACATGACACCGAGGTTGGATAAAGAATGGAGAGAGAGACTTCCTGGCCAGGGATGCATATCTAAGTGGCTCAGGTAAAGTGGGCTGGAAAAAGCATCAGCTGTCTCTGGAGACTGCAGCTGTTGTCTGCTCAGCTGTTTGCTTGGAAGGATCGATCGTGCTGAGCTGAGTTCTGGAGGTGGCTGCCTCCGTTACTGGGACATGCCCATGCTAGCATTAGTTTTGGGATTATCATAAATCTCGCTCTGGGATGTATCCAATACTAAACCTTTCAGCTCAGATTTGCGTCCCCTACCCAAGGTCATGTTCAAGTTCTCCTTGACAGAGGTAAACACAGTACATGTGCCAGGTAGACTTCTGGACTCTGCAAACACCAGCTGTCCTTGAAAGGACTAAGGCCCTGAGTTGCTTGCCTGGATTCTTGCAGCTGCAAGATCTCTCATGGGGGGAAGTGAGCAGTGCACTGCTGTCTGGCGACTCGTGGAATAAATGTATCTGTCCAGTGTTGACTGTGCAGCTGTCCACATCGCAACTGACCCGTCCGTGATTGTGTTGGCAGCTTCAGCATTCTGCAGAGACAATTCCCTGCATTCCTGTGAACGTTTGCCGCCCAAATCAGGATGGAGGCGTATGGATGGAGTGGAACTTGTGGGGAAACTTGAGCTGTTTCTGTCACTCCTCTTCCTGGATTAACAGGGGTCTTCCGTCTTCAAGGTGTTACCTGACACCTGTCCCTGGAGCTAAACTAGAGCAGTTCAAAAAGGGGAAGGGGTCTTACAGCGAGGGTGAATAACTTGGAACAGCTGATCTAGGGACGTGGTGGGCTCACTGTTGCTTGGAGTCTTGGGCTGTGTCTACACTGGCATGAATTTCCGGAACTGCTTAAAATGGAATACTATTCCGTTTTCAGTTTTTCCGGAAAAGGAGCATCTACATTGGCAGGCTGCTTTTCCGGAAAAGCCCTTTTTCTGGAAAAGCGTCTGTGGTCAATGTAGATGCGCTTTTCCAGAAAAGAGCCCCGATCGCCATTTTCATGATCGGGGCTTTTTTCCGGAAAAGACTACTGGGCTGTCTACACTGGCCCTTTTCCAGAACAGTGTTCCAGAATAAGGACTTATGCCCGAGCGGGAGCAGAATAGTTTTTCTGGAATAGCGGCTGATTTTGTACAGTAGAGCGTCGTTGCTTTTTAGCATCGTTGCTTTTCCGGAAATTCAAGGGCCAGTGTAGACAGCTCGCAGCTTATTCCGGAAAAGCGGCTGATTTTCCGGAATAAGTGGCCCAGTGTAGACACAGCCTTGCTGTCTAGATTGGAGGAGGTGTTCTAGTTCATCCAGGATGTATAGGTGTGATGACAAGCTGCCTGAGTGAGGCTTGATGCCTGTGTTCTGTGGAGAGCCAGGCTAGATGATGCTTATGGTCCCTTCTGGCAGGGCTGGCCCTGGACCGACTGGCAGTCCAGGTAACGGATGTCTATCTCCCCCACTTGTTAAACTTTTGAATGCCTTTTCTTTAACGGCATTTGCAGCCCATCTCATGACGTTGATGTGTGATTTGTCATATAAGGTAAATTTGCACACTAGGATCTGTAACGCTGTCTTCATTCACGCCATATAGAAGCAAATCAAACATTGTTTTCTCAACACATATAGCAACTTTTCAATTGTCAGAATAACTGGACTGTACTAACATCGAGGCATTGAACCAGCATTGGCTGTACCACTATTCACTGGTATTCCAGTAGGTGACTGCCTTGGAATATTAGCCGTAGTTCTGTTTCAGATATTTCCTCCTCAAATTTGCTCCTTTCTGCAATCTAGATTGCAATTGAGCTTTTTGCTTCCTAATACTGAGCTCCTGATGGCTTCTTCAGGAGCATGTTTTATTTTCTATTGGAGTGAAGAGGGGGAATAGAAGAGCAAAAGTCTGTTCTATTGTCTTAGAAAGTGATCAAACATTGTGTTAAGCATGGCAGAAGAAGGAACTGTATTGTATATTGTTGTGTAGATAGGAGTTCAATAGCTAGCTCTGGCATCTTGTTAAGTATGTGCTTTATTAGTCTACTCACGTTCTTCAAGTCTCAAAACACAAGTACACTTCCAAAATGACACAACTAAACAAGGTTAACAATATTGCAGCTGGATTGTCACTAGACTTAGTTTGTCCGTATATCTGGCTGGCTGACTGGCGATGCTCCTCTCCTTATGTATCTGCGAGGGGTCTCAAATTCCCGACCTGTGGGCCATCCCCAGCTGGAGCAGTTTCGCAGTATGGTCTAGGAGTCCGTGGAGCGGGAGGATGCGGTCTGCTCCCATCCCTCAAGCCCTGCCTCTTCCCACCCCCTCTCCACCCTCCCATGGCACCCCATCCCTTTGGGGCTTACTGGGGGGACCTGGTGCAGGGTAGCAGTACTGGTTGCCCCTACTCTCCCCACGGTGGCAAGTGAGTGTGCCAAGTTTGCAAAACGGCTCTGACCAGGGAGGGCCCATGGCCAGGGGTTTGAGAGCCCTGTTCTAGGAGGTGCGAGCAAAATACAGTTCTCAGAAAGTCCGGAAGGTTCTACAGAGGTCTAGCGCATTCTCAGAGGTTAATGAAAAATGACTCCCCATGTGAAATATCTGAAACGTTTTACTTCAAAAGTTCTAGTTTCCCTTTGGTCAGTAACAGCAAAACCAGCCCCCGAGCCCGGCGCCTCCTCAGTGGTTGCTTGCTTCTAAATCTAGCCCTGCCTCTGGCCTGAGAATCTATGAAATATTATGTGCAGTGGAAGAAGTCCCCAAAACATGGACGGGAATCACTTTAGACTCCACCTAGAGCTTCATTCTAGCTGCTGGGAGCAATCTCCATTTATACCGTGTCTGTCAAGCTACCCCAGTTTTAACCTGCCCAGAAGAGAGCTAACTGAATTCTCACCAAACCTAGCTTGGACCATCACTGCTTACCCAGTTCCTCTCTTGTGCTGCATTCCTCCCTCGGGGGCGCTACCCCGCAGAGCGCTGGAGGAATAGCGAGAAACATCAAGTTCCCTTTCTCTCTGCTACTGTCGGAATGTGCTTGCCGGGCAACAGAAGTCCAAGGACACAGGCGGTCGGTAGCATCATGCTTTCCAGATTTCTGAGCCCATTGGGTTCCCTTGCAGAGCGCCCCTCAGCAAAGTGGGGGGCCTTCCCATACAAGTAATAATTTCATCCTAAACTTGAATTCTGCTCTGAAGCCCTGGGCAGCAGCCCTCCCCTTACTCTGCCATGTGCGATTCCTCTGGGCTGTGTCTCCTCAGCACTGCAGACAAGGCTTCTCCTCAGCAGTCACCGCCCCTTTCTAGCATCCTTTGAGGAGCAGTGTAATTACTAGTCTGCCTCCGGGCCCTGCTGTTGCAGGGTGTAGATCCCTAGGCGGAGAATGAGCTCAAAGCAGAGCCATGGTGATTGGGCCAACTGCTGCCCGAGTTCATTGGAACAGAATGGCTTTCCTGCTCCTGCTCCGAGGAGGCGATGAGAGATGTGGGGGAAGGAGGACACTGGAGGACAGGAACACTGAGCTGTACTGTCAATGCTGAAATCTGTGCGGGGGGGAGTGCCGACTCAGCGTCTGAGCGGGAGTTCCTTCCCACAGGGATCTGCTGCTCAGAGATGGGATGATCCCCTCACCTGCAGTGCCCCGGCGAGGGACCAGTCCGAGGGAGGCGGATGGGCCCTTTGGGTGGGGCTGGCATTGGCTGTGGTCTGTGGCTGGGGAGAGGAACACGCCTGCCCTTGTGGTGTTCTCCTAGGCTGTCCACTGCAGCCGTGTGCTCAGGACTAGGTCCAGACAGCTGATGCGGTGAGAGAGGCCTGAGCAGGTAATTCCCTCTCTTCCCGCATGTCACTGCTGCTCCCTGAGATGCGGGAGGGGGGTAAAAGGAGCAAACGGCCGTCTTGCCAGAAGCCTGCAGAGTCTCGTGTGCGGAGCAGTGCTGGGATCCAGATGAGGCCTGCACTCGATGGAGCCAGCATCCCTGTGTCAGTGGCGAGTCGGCTGCATTGTGGGGCTGGCGTAGGAAGGAGTGGAGCAGGAGAGCCCTCGTGGCTCAGCCCAGGTTGGAACTTGATCCTGTTCTGCCAGGACAGCGGAAAACGAGATTCACGCCCGTCTCAGTAGCAGGCTACTCAGGGAGCCCGAGGCTTGGCCCCGCATCCTGTCTGTGGAACATGCTCTCTGCTGTGGACTCCCGAGCTCTGGACTAGAAGGGCAGCGTCACGCACAATGGAGTAGAACTGCAAGAAGCTGCTGACGGGATCTTTGGTAGAAGCCCTGGCCGGCAGGCAGAGACCTGTCAGGGGGCGTGATGGTAATGCCCTGGGGTGCAGGGCGGAGCTCTCCTTCACGGCAGAGCGCTCTGGTCCTGACAGCAGAGACTGACAGTGCCGACGTCTCCTGGCAAGCGTGCCCTTGTTTGCCAGCAAGTGTCATTTGATGCTAGTGGGAAATGCTCCCTGGGTGTCACCAGGAAGGCTTTGTATGCGAAAGATGCTGGTTAGGAAGCACGGCTCTGTAGGGATTAGCACGGGCAAAACCCTCGCTCACCAGAACGATAGTCCAAACGCGCATCAACCGAATCCCCTCCCGGCCCTCGCCCTCCGTCTCCGCTTCCTTGTTGCATCGGACAGACAGTCACACACCTGGAAGTTCAGCCTGAGATTAGCGCAAGCCCTAGGAATTGCTGCTTGCCCTGCAGCAGCCAGGGGCATCTGGAGCGGGAAGGAATAGTCCTGCTCAAAGGACCAGTGTGCCCCAAGCAGGCACCTTCTCCCAGCCTGCTGAGCTGAAGCAAACTCAGTTTGCTAACAGGTTTGATGTTTTATTTGCCTCTTCCTGGCACTCTCTCCAGGAAAAAAAAGTACCAGACCCACAAACCTATTAGTTTGAATTGGCCTTAACAAATGCTCACACCTGACGTGGAGTGTAACCGCTCAGCACTTTCTCCGGGTTACCGCCTTCTGCACCGGGTGTCTGTAACGTGATTGCTAGAGCCGCCATCCTGGGAGGGTTTTCAGAGAGACTTCAAAGCAAACCTGTAAATGGTAAGACTTTGCAGGCTCGCCCTCCCTGGGCTTGGGGGCAGGGAAGGGAGCTGTGGGGTGAGGCTCTGCTGGCTGGTGAGTGCCCTGGAGGTGGGGAGAGGCTGCTGAGGGTGGCTAGGATGGTATTTGAAACCTCTCTGGGCAGGTGCTTTTGGAAACAAGGCGGGGGGGGGAGTGTCTCTGAAGTCTCTTCAAAGGGCCTGTCTCCCGGGCCCTCTGCTTGAGTGTCTCACTCCGCACACAGCAGCCCAGCCCTGGCTTTCGGGAGACTGCGCGTTCCCACCGTCTCGTCCCATGGTGCAGTCTGTACTGCCCGGGTGCCTGGCTGTCCCCTTGGAATAGCGCTCAGCTCCTAGAAGGCTGGCTGCTGCCAGTGCTCAGAAGCAAACAGGGCTGGGGGGGGTGACTGAAGATGGGCAGGGCTGGGCGCAGTAACCTGCCCCTCGTGGGACAGAACCAGTCCCCCTGGGCAGCTTGTGCCTTTCTCCTGCCCGCCCTCTGCGCTGCAGGCTGAGACCAGACCCTTCTCTCCCCCAGGTGTACGTGGCTGGGAACCAGCCCTCTGGCGTGTTGCTGGAATCCTTGCAGCCGGCCCTGGGAGGGATTTTCTCACTCTACTGTTTCACCAAGCAGAACGTGTCGCACCTGCGGTAAGGCCTGTGGTGGGATCTCCTGGCGCGCAGCCTTGTGTGCTGGGGGGGGAGCCCTCCCCGCGTGGGGCCCAGCGGTCGCGGAATCAGGGCCCAGAACGTGCTCCTGTGCTGAGCTCCAGTGGACATGGCTGAGGACAAAGCTTGCAGCCCCAGCTCCATGCTGGCCACGAATGTCAGACACGTGCAGCAGGCCGGACCCACCACCGGCTTGCCAGGGTAGGAGGCCGTGCTTGTCTCGGCTGCCGGTAGGTCCGAAACGAGCACTAGGAGGTGGACAAGTCTGCTTCCAGGGCTCTGGGGAGTCTGCCATTACTGGGGGGGGGTGCATTCGTTCATGGTCTGGCCTTCGTGGAACTGCCTAGGAGGGGGGGATCGTGGTTGCCTAGGGACAGCAGAAAGCTGGGTGTGGGAGGCTGGGGTGTGGGGTGTTTTCTGTGCGGGCGGGATTTGGGCGCTGGGGAAACGTGAATGAATTCTCAGTACCTGGACCTGAATGTCCTTGTGCTCTGCCGGCTGTTGGAAGTAAAGAGCCATTTGTGTCCCATTTGAACGGATTCCCTTCTTCCCAGAGGGGCGCTCGACCGGCTCCTCTTCTGGGCCTAGTAGCCTTGTGGGCATGAACCCTTCGAGCTCTCCCACCGCGGGCACAGCGCCGGCACGGCACCCATGCAGCCCAACTACTGGTGGTTTGCCACCTTCCCCTCGGCATGCGGGGTTGGCCAAACCTCCCGGCAACGTGTTTCTCTCGTCCCCCCCCGCTGGGAGGGGCACAAGGGCTTGAGAGAGAGCTCTGGGAGGAGCCGGTGCTGCCATACGGACAGGGCCGGTCCTCTCCGAGGCGCAGTGGGGCCTCCATGGAAGTGACGGCGACACGCTCCAGCAGCTGCTGGGAGCTGCATCTTCCCAAGAAGTCTGCACCGGTGACGGGACTGCAGCTGCCCGGCCCTGCTCAGCCGGAATCTGGCGCCTTCGTGACACTGCTGGGGGGGCACATCCAGATGTTACCGACACGTCCAGGCTGCGCCCCCTCCCCCGTGGCGGAGTGTCACGGCCGGCAGGCTCCTGGCCCAGCAGCAGGGGCTGTGAGGAGAGGGAGGGGGCCTTTTTTGTTTGCACTTGCTTGCGTTCACGTTGTCCGGCTTCTCCACTCCTTTCTGGGGTGGACTCTTTAAGGACCCAGCTCCTTTCCCGTCCAGATTCTGGAGGAGCCGGCGAAGCGTCTATGTACCTGTCCCCTCCCTGGCCTTTACGGCGTCTGAGAGACGGCACCGAGGGAACTGCCCAAGGGTGACTGCTCCCCTGCCTCTGTCCTTGTGCCAGAGCGCGCCCCAGTGCGGCGAGCGGCGTGTCGAAGCTCCCACAATGCTGCTTTGCCCCACGGGTCTGTGCTGCAAGCAACGTGCCGGTGGTAGGAGACAGACTCTGCCATCGCCTCTTTCTTGACAGGTCACCGTGCCAGGAGATCTTGCTCTGGGTCCTGGAGAAGTCCGAGCGAGAGGTGGCCCTCTCCGTGCTGGCCGGTTCTCCATCCGCTGTGCCAGTTTCAAGTAGCTGATGGCGGTGGTGCCATGGTCACTGTCAAAGAGCCCGTCAGGTGAGAGACCCCGTAGGGGCATGGCACCGGGCAGGCGGAGTGGCTGGGCGGCTCTCACCCAGCCCGAATGAATCTGCTTAGGGCGTCACGCGGCTCTGTGCTGGTGTAACCCAGTCCACTTCCATTGCGCTCCATCCGCTGTGCCAGTTTCAAGTAGCTGATGGCGGTGGTGCCATGGTCACTGTCAAAGAGCCCGTCAGGTGAGAGACCCCGTAGGGGCATGGCACCGGGCAGGCGGAGTGGCTGGGCGGCTCTCACCCAGCCCGAATGAATCTGCTTAGGGCGTCACGCGGCTCTGTGCTGGTGTAACCCAGTCCACTTCCATTGCGACTTCAGTGCAGCTCTGCACATAGGCAGGGCCTCGCTTCCCCTGGGCCAGCGCCCCCTAGGGCTGCTGCGCTCACGCCCTGCGGCGCGGCCCGCTCTTCGCAGGGGCTCTGAGCGTGTCTGTGGAGTGTTTTGTGGCCCTAGACTCTGCCCTTGTTCTTCCCGCACTGACTAGCGGCGAATTAGCGAACCGAATGCTCGACCGTTCAGCTTCATCCCCAAACTAACGGATGTTTCATCAGCTGCCGTCTGGCCGCCCCCTTTCGTGCAGCGTGTTGCTGCGCCTGGCCGTGTGGGAATGCCTGGAAGCGACGGTGCAGTGCACCCGCTTCCCCTGGTCTGGAGAGACAGGCGGGCTGGGAGGGCGTGGGAAATCTGGGACGTGACCCCTGCCCCTGACTAGCTTACCCAGCCCTCCTTGGGAGGAGGCACGGGGCCTCGCCCTGCCCAGTAGAGCCCCCCACCCTTAATCCTGGCACCCAGACCGAATCCCGTCGTCTCCCAAGTCCCTGCCGGTTGTCTCCGCGTCCCGTTGGGAGCCGGAGCGCTGCGTGGGCTGCGGCTGCTCGGGGGCACGGAAGGGGGCCCGTGGGCGTGCTGTGTAAATCCCTAAGGCCCGGGGCAGTTCCAAAGCCCTGGCTGGGTCCCGTGGAGTAAAGGCCGGCTGCGTTTCAGCGACGAGGACGAGGCGCTCTACCAGAGGGTCTCCGCGGAGCAGTGGCGGGCGGAGCAGTTGGTGGACCTGTTGGCTCACTGCCAGGAGAGCGGCTTAGCTGGAGACTTTTTCATTTGCTGCTTAAAGGTAAGAGGCCGCGGTCTGTGAGCAGCCTGGCCTGGCTGGGCACAAGGGTCCGGAGGTGACGGG